GGGGGGTGTGCAGAGCTAGAGCTGCAGAAATGTATTTTAAGTTTCCATGCCTTGTTTATCACTGAAGAAAACGGAAGAGTCTCTTTTTGTGATTTTTCAAAACTTTCCTTGTTCATAAAAATACTATTTGAGAAACAAGATTCCTAAGAAAAATTAAATGACTTATTTAACTTGATACTCTTTTACCAAAGATTTCTGGTAACTAACTAAAACAAATGAACATTGCATTAATTTTTAGCCTACAGTTTTTTTTTTGTTTATAACAGTCGTTTTTGTGGGGGGTATGTTTTAGGGCATCATTCAGAAGATAGTGGACAGTCACAAAGTAAAGCACGTGGCCTGCTATGGATTTCGTCTCAGTCACCTGCGGTCAGAGGAGGTTCACTGGCTCCATTTGGATATGGGTGTCTCCAATGTGAGGGAGAAGTATGAACTTGCACACCCACCAGAGGAGTGGAAGTAAGATCGCGTCCCTACTTTGGTGTGACTCACGCTTGATTTGTTTTGCATATTAAATCACACACGAGAGGGTGAATGTCTTTGCTTAATTTCCATACTGCTTGTAATCACGACTCCTGTCGAAATAAAACTGGCTGGTAATAATTAACCAGCGACCTCTCCTAGATCTCTGTTCAGTCTGTCTTTGTGGCACTATGGACTTTGGGCTCTGTGGGGACGGCCTGGGGCCGGTCACGCTTCTCCCGTCGGGTCTGTTTTGGGTCAGCCTCAGCTCTGAGAACTCCGCCCCCTGTTCTTTTCCTTTCCGTCCTGCCCGCATCCTCTCGTGCAGCAGGACTTCGTGTGCACCTGATCACCTCACTGGTGGGCGGCACGGCTTGCTCCACGGGGCCCGGTAACCCACAAGCTCCCCCAAAAAGAGTGGGTGCACGTTTGATGTTCGTGACTCGGACGGACCTGAGCGAAACGGACGTGATTCAAAGTGAATTAAAGAGTTCTCTGTGTTCTCTCCTAGTAATTTTTTCCACTGTTACGCAAAGCAGCTTGTTAGTAGGAAATTGTACATGTAATACAATTTATTTGAGAGAAATATAACTTGCAAAGATGGGCTCCTTCCACAGGCGCCTTCATTTTGTGGATGCTGCTGTGGGAGTAAAGGCGGTTATGGATCGGGGGGTGGGGGAAGGGGGGGTTCAGTGCCGGTCACTTTCAGTCCGACAACCTGAGTTGTTTGGAGGAGACGTTTTAAACGAAAAACAAATATGTTTAGGTTAATAATCTCTAGTCGAAAAAAATCTCATCCTAGCTACAGTTTACCAAAGAAATATCCTTGTGTTTTCAGGTTTTTCAAATAGCCGGAACCGACCGAGCTAACAAGATAGCCCACGATAATGCAGTTTGGTGGGGTTACATCGATGGCTAGCAAAGATCTGACCTCCATTATTCAGCCAGTCAGTCCAATAAGTGTGTAAAAGCTACGAATACCTAAAAGTTAGTTACAAATCCCTGCAGGTATTTTTATTGAACATAATTCCGTTGCCTTCCTGTACCGACACGTCGGAGGTGTACTTCATCATCATGATGTCCCTAGTGCTCGGTCAAATGTTGTGTCGAATGCAAGCATCTGAATTGACAAGCTCTGTTTCTGTTCTTTTAAGCCAGTTTACTTGGCCTAATTTCAAGTAAAGTTGAGTGGGCACTACTCTGTTCCGTGGAGCCTGAACCCTCAAAGACTGGGCGAGGTAGAACTTCACCGAACGCAGTGAGTGCTGAACCTGATGCTGACGGGAGTGGCTGCCGCAGCCTGGCACCCCACGGTGTGCTCTTTATAGTCTGTACATTTGCAGTTCGTAAAATGTTTATTTCTCATAGCTCTCCACAGACCTTAGGAGGTAAAGACAGGGGAGATAGGTAACAGATTCGATTTGAGTTCCACCTGCAGAGAGCTCCGGATACAGCTTTGACTTGAATTTAGCTGACTTCCCAGTGCAGGCTTTTAAAGTGAACCCAGCCTTAACTGTAACCTTAACTCCGAGTGGTAGCGAGGCCACTAAGATCGGTGAAGGTGCGTGGATGGCGGGGGGAGGAGAGGAGACGAGGAGATGGGTTGGAGGCACAGGTGATCCCTGTGGGTGTTTCGGGAGGACCAGGCTTCCTGCCGCCTGTCGGTGCTCACGTCAGAGGAGGCAGGACTTAGGGCGTCAGTAAGGAACAGGAGCCTGTTACGGAGAACCAAGTAGATTTGAAAAAGAACCAAACTCGAGTTCTGGAAACCACTGGGTGGTTAAAATAGCAAGTTAGATGTAGGTGAAAAATTGGTCAACAGAAACACGGATCTGAGAAAATTTGCCCAAAAGATAGCACGGGGAGATGAACAGGTAGAGAATATGAAAGGAAATGGCACGACACGAAAACTGAGGAGGCAGACCCAGTTCTGACAGGGGCTCCAGGAGGAGATAAAAAGACTGAGGAGGAAGAAATACTCCCAAAGAGATTATGGCTGAGAATTTTCTGGAATTGGCAAATAACATGAGTCATCAGAACCAGGATTAATGCAAAACCCCAAACACGGTTAAAAAAATAGATCTACACTTTGGTGGATTATAGTCAAGTCGTGTACAAAGGAAAAAAAAGAGATGATGCTAAAGCAACCAGGGACACATTCACAGTTCTCCACAGCAGTGATCTGTGCAAAGTGGGGAGAAGAAGTCACCGGCAACCTGTATTTTTTGTCAGATTCAGTGACCATTCAAGAGCAGGATGACAGTGATGCTTTCCGCAGAGACTATACCAGCAAAGGAACCTCCTATAAATACACTCGGGAGAAGGGAAAATGGTCTCTGAAGGAGGGTTTCGGTTGGCAGAAGGAGTGCTAGAAAAAAAATCGGGTAGATACAGATAAGCATTGGCTCTGAAAACACATAAAGTGGTAAAATCTGATTTTTTATATGAAAAAAGTAAAACCCAGATAGTCGAACCCATATGTCAGAAGAGAGGTGATCAGAATTAAGGCTCTGTCAGCCGGGTTTTAAAATTATATATAAAAATGTTAAAAATAAAATTGTATATATTAGGGCAACCATAAAACATTAGAAGTAGATTGTATAACGTAGCAGGTAGGTGGGTGAGTAGGTATCGAGAAACTCCATAATCGAGAGGAGGCAAGAAAAGGGGAGGAAGAAAGACAGGAAAGTAGGGTGAAGGGAAGTCACAGACTAGACTTCAGAAGGTCAAGTAGACTAGGAGTGAGTGGTCGGAACCTGTTAGGGTGTGATTATAAATACAGTCCAGCTCTCTGCTCTTTATGACACACCTAACACAGTGATATTCAAGACATTTTCATGTGACTTACGGAAAGAAACATTTTACCTTAAGATGCAGCACAAACACGTGTGTGTGTCTCAGAACCACGTACATGTAGGTCTCCGTATGTGCTTCACAAAATCATACCCAACCTCACTAGTACGCCGAGGTCTCAGATTTTCATCCAGTGCCATTCTGTTCTCTTCAACCTCATTTAGATGGATGGGTGGGTGGGTGGGTAGAAAAGAAAAGAAGAGAAGAGAAAAGAAAAGAATTTCCCTTCCTGCTAACTAGGTGGGAGAAGGGGGGCAGGGGGATTGGTATTGTTTTATTAATATCCTATGAAAAGAGTTTGAAGACAGAAAAGCATTAATAGGGATGTGGAGGGCAACTACATAATAATAAAAGGCTTGTTCTACAAGAATCACTACAGAAACAGATGGGCCCCTGAAGATACTTCTCAGAATGTATAAAGCAAAAACATTCTGTCCTCTGGCCAGCATTTAAATTTTGGACTGCTCCAGTGACCTCTTTTCCTCTTCCTTCTCTCTGTAGACCTGCCTTTGGCATCAAATTCACACGTTAATAGGAGAGACACAGGGAACCCATAAACCAGTTATTGCCGTAGCCCAGGCAAAAATCCTAAAAGCAGGTGGCCTGGGGGAGTAGTGATGGAGTGAGAAGCGGTTGTAGGGCGATTTTTTTTAAGGTAGAGCTTACGGGGTTTGCTCAAGAGTCTTTAAAAACACAAGCATCCAGTGGAGTGTGAAACTCACTCCTGCAGAAGCTTCCAGTAGCGCCTCGTCACACCTGGAGCCAACTCCAGAGTTCCGATCATCTCTCAGCCCCATCTCCTCTCGCTCTCGTTCCCTTCGTCCACTCAAGCGGCCGCACGTTTCAGTGTCGTCTCTTCCTCGCTGCCTGGTCGGGGTCTCACTGGATCCTCTCTGCCGCCAGCTTCCTGGCCTGCTGAATAGCACCGGCCTCGGCCCACCTTTCCTTTGTCTTGGAGAACTTTCCACTCGCTCTGCCCCAGCCCCACGGCTCCTTCTGGTTCTCGAATGAGACTTTGTGCTTCGTGTGACTCTGCTGAACGTGCTCCCCTGTCGTTTCCGTCACCGCGTGGGCCTCCCATCGTTCAGACCAGTGTCCGCTGTCCGCTCTCGGCCTGTGGTCTTCCCCGACCGTTCTGTCTTTAGGGCCTGCCCACCTGATGACCTTTCTCTCCCTCAGGGACTTTGTCTCACCCGCTGCTCTATTCCTAGTTTCTAGTTGGTCGTGCCTGGTATATAGGAGGCACCTCATAAACATTTTAAGTGAGAACGGAATTAGTGGTAGTGGAAATGTAAAATAAACCTAGAGGCAAAGCACTTTGATGGGACAGTAAGTTGTCTTCATCTAGGGATGAACAGTTGTAGATTGTGTGAATAACTGTGTTTTCACAGTAACACACATTGCTTACAATGTGGTGGACATTGTGCTAAGCACCTGGCTTACTTTACCCAAGTTCGTTCTTCCTATGATAGCCTTTTCAGGTGGGTACTCACCTTTTGCCATGTTACTGGTGAGACAGCTGTGGTTCAGAGAGGCTGAAAAAACTTCCTTGAGATCATACGGCAGAGTAGGCAATTGAGTCCGTGTGCTCAGCATTTTCTTCTCTGCTCCTGTTAAGGTATGTAAGCACCAGAGACAGAACATTTTTGATCACATTTCCCCCTTGCTAGCAGGGACCTTCTCTCAGTTCGTAGGTGGCTTTGTGAGGACAGCTGCACTCCTGGCTTTAGTTCTGAAAAGTAAGATGTTCTTCGAATGAAAGTGCTAGGACTCCCCGGAATAATCGGGCGTCAGTTTCCATTCTCGGGAAGTTTTTGAACATCGATTTGTTTTCGTGCTATCTGCCATAGGATCTGTTCCTCCTGTTCAATAACCGTGAGACACAAGCTTGCTCACCCGGGTCCTGAGGTCTTTCGACACAAGCCAGCTTGTGGCACACTGTGTGGGTGTAGCTGTGTCAGGCAGGGGGACCTTCCAGTGGTGCCGTGGCTGGCCGCTGGGGACAGGAAGGGCTGGTTGGATAAGTGGCTGTCCTGGTGGGAAGAATAACCACAAAATAGATCCTGCCTCAAGCAATACACAGGGACCCACTGAAAATGGACCAGGTGAGAAAAAAGTTTAATGAAAAGTATGAAGGTACTGCT